AGAAGAAGAAGAAGAAGAAGAAGAAGAAGAAGAAGAAGAAGAAGAAGAAGAAGAAGAAGAAGAAGAAGAAGAAGAAGAAGAAGAAGAAGAAGACATAGTAATCACTCTCACTCTCTACACTTAGGAAATTCTAAGGCTTGAAAGAGCTGTGAATCAGGAACCACAGGTGGAAACCAAATATAAATGCAAAAAAAAAAATTGATCATCTGAGTGGTCAAATAATGTTTTTCTTATAAATTACATTAGCTCACCAATTTTGTTTTCTCCCCCCACCTGCTCATAGCTAAGAAACTCAGAATAAAATTTACCAATTAGTGATAATATGTGCCCTCAAAGTTGTCAAGTTATTCATTTCCATGTATCTAATTCCTTCTTACAAGATGATTAACTTTATACAGAGCCATAGTGGTAAAAATCTTCCCATACGTCTGGTTCTTCTAGGTTTGCAAATAATCAAACATCAGACAGATTGCCAAGAGAGTAAGAAAGGTAATTTTAATAACACTTATACTTCCTGTATACATGGGAGAAACCCAGTAAGATTGAGTAACTCACCCACATGGTTTTAGTTACCATCTCAAATAACATCAGACAAGACAAAGAGGAATGGGGAGGAAGGCAAGGTCAAACATAGGCAGTAACTAGGAAAAAGAATACCATTATGCAGACTGATGGTCTGACTTCTGCAGTAATAACAATTATAGAGATTCAGCTTTCTGAAAGTGTGTGTGTGTGTTTGTGTGTGTGTTTGTGTGTGTGTGTGTGTGTGTGTGTGTGTGGGTGGAGGGAGAGGATGTCCTTACAAAGAGAAATTTTCCTTTATACTGTGACTGTCTCTTACAAAAGGGCAGCTTCCACAATGCCTTCAGAGTCACTCCTATGAAATAAAACTTATGCTAAAAAGACATATTTGAGGAATGGCAGATTTTGCTTGTGTCATGCCAGATCTTTTTAGGAAAAAAGGCCAAGTATTTTGCTTGCTATTCTTAGGTGGTCTTTTTTAATGACTCAGAAAAGGTCTAGGATTTTGATACCATTAAAGAGAGTAGCGATAAGCAAAAGATGAGAGTTGCTGGGGTAATCCTGTTTTGGTGGTTAAATTAAAATAGGAATTACAATTCAATCAGATGAAAGAAGCTAGTTTCCTTGGAGGAAACCGGAGAAAGCATGGGCCATTTAATGGAATTGCTACTCAGGCTGTAAGATTAGATCGGTTTCTTGAAGTAACACAAGCCCACATTTCATATTTTACATTTTTCAACAAAAACTAGAATTCCAGATTTTTCAAATCTGGAATACCTAAAATGTTGTGTACCAGTGGATTATAGCTTGTGAATGACAGGTAGTGGGGGAGAAATGGGGGGTTGTGATTCAATAGGCATGAAATTAGTTATACAAAGTGAATACATTTTAGGGGCCTTCCCTGGTGTCACACGGGTTAAAGAGCAGCACTATGAAACTCGCTGCAGCCACTACAGCATGAGTTTGATCCCCAGCCAGGGAGGTGACCCATATAGCACAGCAGACCTTTCCTGCCCTGCCCACTGCTCCCCTCAGCAGCGTATTTCAGTACGTCTGTCTGGTCTGTTTCCCACTCCGTCTCTAGTGAATCCTCACCCCCACCCCACCCCCCACACCTCTGGCCTGTACCCCAGTTCTTGTGTGCATAAATAAATCTTTTTTTTTGAAAAGTAAATAAGTTCTAGAGATCTATTATAAAACATAACACCTATAATTAATATAGAATTGTGCACTTCAAAATTTATTAAGAGGGTTAAGTGTTCTTATCACACTCATCAACCCATAAAATTCAGAAAGTCATACAAAGGAAAGAGATACACTGTTTAACAACACAAGAAAGTTTTGGCAGTGATGGGTATGTTTATTACCATGAGTAATAAGTGAATGAATGCATATGCCCAAACTTATCAAAATGCATATAATTAAATGCATTTGTTTGGAATACATTTGCTTGGACCTCTCTGAGAAAGAATTCAGCAGTCTCCTGTTCAGTGATACACAGAAAGTTTATTTAAAAAAAGAGAGAGAGACAGAGAGACAGGGCCCTCCCTGGTGGTGCAGCGGGTTAGGATGCAGCACTGCAAGTGAGCCGCAGCTGTTTCAGTGCGAGTTCTATTCCCGCCCCGGAGGTGACCCACATGGAACAGCAGACCTCTCCTGATCTGCCCATTGGTCCCCTCAGCAGTGTTGTTCGTTAATATGCCTATCCTGCTCCCCACTCTGTCTCTGGAGAATCCTCTCAGATTCTCTGTATGCATAAATCTAAAAAAAAAAAAAAGGCACAGGTGCATATACAGAAGTGGTCTAGAAGCTGCATTTTGCCAGCATACCAGGTGTTCTCACATACTGTTGCTTGATGGGATTTATTGCCCTGGAGTCAGCTGGGGTTGGTTTTCTCTAAAAACTGATAATCAATTCTTCTCCAACCTCTAGTTCCTGGAAACTTCCATAGCTGGTTTAGCAACTCATGAATTGTTCCTATACCCTCCCCTGGTTAAATTCCACCTTCCTCCACCATATGTAATGATACATAAACCATAAAAACTCTGGAACACGTCACCACCTGTGCCTTTGAACTCTGAAACAACCGGGAGCAGGTCTCAATAATCCAGTTGCCAAGGGGACAAAGCAGGATTTTTGGCACCAGGGAGCTAATGTCATAATGGCACCAAAGGTCATACTGACTTCAAACAGAGTGATAAAACTATTGGTTTCAGAAACCAAGCAATTTGCATTTTATCTCAGATTTTGTGAATATGGACCAGATGAACGAGGCCTGGACTTGAACATGGATAGGTCTCAGCTCTGCCACCAAAACATTGCATACAGGGTTGGCAAGCTCATGGAACTTCCAGAGTCCTCCCTAGTATTCTCCATATAAGAAGGAGGCTAGATAAAATTCACGAAATCTTTCAACTTCTTTATTTTCAAAAGTGTCTTATCAGAAATCCCAAAGATATGTAAACACAAGAAATTTCCACTCATCTGTGTGAGGGGCTAGGGAGGAAGAGAAGGACACCACACAGTATAGATCGCACGGACACTATATAACTAATAATCTGTTTTCTTTAAAATAAAGCTCTTGTGTTAAACTGAGATTCCTGTTCCTATGATGCCCAAAGGAGTGCTGGACACTGATGCCATCAGATGTGCCAGGGTCGAAAAGACCAGGAGGCTGATAAGTTCTGGGGGCAGAACATGATCAACACCAGGAATGTCAACTGTGATGGGTTGTTCTGATAGGCTATTAACCTGCTACTGACTTTGCCTAACCCAATATGAAAGGCCAGCTCAAGATATGATGACAAAATGATTTCTGCTATGCCCACCATTCTCTCAGATCAATAGCGAGGGATCTAAAAAATAAAAGCACTTATCGCTCTTATTCAGCTTACTCAATATTATAGTCTTAATTCAATTCCTGTCTATTCTTCCTGACTTTTGGCAGTGACAAGCAGCAGAAACCAGGCCTGTTCCAATAACCTTTACAGAAGATTTCCCTAAATTTCCAATGTTGGCCCTCCCTGGTGGTGCAGCAGGTTAAAGCACCGCACTAAGAAGCTTAAGCCACTTCCCCATGAGTTCGATCCCCACCTGTCCTGGAGGTGACCACATGGAGTAGCAAACCTCTCCTGGCCCGCCCACTGCTCCCCTCAGCAGTGTGCTTCATTGATCTGCCTGTTCTGCTCCCCACTCTGTCTCTGGTGAATCCTCTCACCCTCCGCATCTCTGGCCTGTACCCCAGTTCTGTATGAATAAATAAATAAATCTTTTAAAAAAAATTTCCAATGTTGATGCAAACACTAAATGAGTTGTTGGTCCACCATTGAGCAAGTTCTTAAAAACTGAAAAAATTGGGAAATATTATGCTTCCCATCTCTACTAAAAATAATTCCTACAGTTGACTCTTAAGAAATAGTAACATTATGCTCTAATAATCTGCCTAATTTTTGAAAAAGGATAGAGTCAATACTTATAATTTGCAAGTAGGTGTCATTTGAATATACACTTTTTTAAGTGTAAAAAATCACAAGTTATAAACAGCCAATGGTTTAAGATGCTTTCAGAATACATGATTACTTTAATTCTACAATGATTTCTTCAAGTTTTTCCTGAAGGGCGCCACAAAATTCACCCACCTTCTCTTCCTTTTTATAAAACTGAAACGTTGGGATGCAAATGATGTCACGATCTTTCACCAGCTCCTCGCATTCATCGGCATTCACTTCCAGGAACACCACATCCTCATACTTTACAGACAGGGAGTGGTAGAGAGGCTTGATGGTCTTGCAAGGTCCACACCATGTGGCCGAAAAATCCACTATTACCAGCCTCTCTCCCGCCTCCTTGAGTGCCGTCTCGAAATCCTCCTTGCTCAGGATCTCCTTCACCATATCCATGCCCAGGAGATCCACTGATTCTTCCATCAAATGTAGAGAGCCACCTTCAATAGACTTGGCGGTTTCTTCTGACAGCTGGAAGGTTTCACTCTGTTTGGGCAGGGTGATTACTTCTGAGGATTTGGGAGTATGGCCCTGTTTGGGTGAGATGAGTGTTTGTAAAGGAAGATGTTGCTTCAGGAAGATGGATTTCCCTGAAAGCTTGGGGATGTTACCCTGCTTGAACAAAATGACTTTTGCTAGGGGGTAAAGGTACCAGCCTGCTGAGGTTGATGGCTTTGGCTGGGGAACTGGAGGTATCAGCCTGCTTGGCTGTGCGGTTCTTACTGAGGAGCTGGAGAGGTCAGGACTCTGCTGTTGGAATGAGTCCCCAGGCTGAGGGGCTTCTGACTCTTCTGCAGGTGTGCGTTGTACGTTGCTGGTCTGGGTGTGGGCTGGGTCCAAGACCAAGAGAGTCATGTGATTGGATGTAACCGGTAATATTGGCCTTTCTGAATGAAAGAGTAAATAAGTGAAATAAAAATGCAAAAAAAAAAAAGGGGGGGTCTCTCCCTGTTGGCAAAACGGGTTAAAGCACCGCATTATGAAGCTCTCCCAAACCACTACAGCATGAGCTCCATCCCCTGCCAGGGAGCTGACCCACAAGGTTCAGCAGCCCTCTCCTGACCCACAGCTGCTTCCCTCCCACTGCTCCCCTCAGCAGTGTACTTCGTAGATCTGCCTGTTCTGCTCCCCACTCTGTCTCTGGTGAAACCTCTCACTGCCCTTGACCTCTTGCCTGTACCCCAGTCCTGTAAGCATAAATAAATAATTTTTTAATGCAAAAAAAAGCATAAAATTCTAATCATATCCTCCAAGAAAGACTAGTGTCATTCCTAGTGCTCACAATTGTAATCTTCTGAATGATACAGTAATTTGAAGAATTTCATTCAAACAGAAAGCCAAGCAGCATGTAATCACATGTATACTTTCTGTAGACATTTTTTGTAACTACAACTTTTCCTGCTTAATTTAATACTGCTTCCTACTCCTGGGAACATAGGTCCCTAAGGCAACTTTCCTCCCCCCCCCCACTCCGCCACCCCCCCTTACAACTAGTGTCACCTTCATTTGTTTCTTCTTGTTTATTGGGCCTCAATTCCTGTTCTCCTGGGCCTCTACTTTCCATTTCTGGTTCCATTTCCTATGTCCACTCCTGTTTCATAGCTGCCTCATAACGAAAGTGACTATTTCCAATCTAACATCATAAGCTGAGTCAAGTGATACTCAGGTAGTACTTAAAACTGGTTTTCCCTCTCTGCACTCATAACAGTAGTATGTAAGAGTTTCATGACAGCCCTGGTTATGGTTCCTACACTGTGTGCAAGGCTGTATGCCCTGTGCTGGATCTTCATTATTTCCTATAACACAACAAACCACTGAGGTAAGCATCATTATGATGCCCACATTACAAATGAAAAAACTGAGACTTAGAGAAGTTATGTAACTCAAAGTAAAAAAAATTAATTTGGGGCTGTTTCTAAGCCCACACTCTGAATACCACATTGTGCTATCCTCTGCCGGTGCCTTATCCAAGATGGATAACTTGAAACCAACTATCCTATAATCCCCCTCTAGGATTTTTCAATTCAGTTTTCTCTTTATGATTCACCAGGCTAATCATCTACTAACTGTGCCCTCCTATGTTACCCACCCATCCCCCACCTCCACTTCCCCCCACCCCACCCCCTGCCTGACTGTCAGATGTCTTTTTGGAACTATTTGGAAGAGGGTCGATCGATCATGATAAGAGGAATCACCTAACAGAGAAAGAAGTGAAAGCATCACCTTCTGTGTCAGTAGACAGGGAAAAAATGGGTCTATACATCCGGGGTAAAACCCTAGCATATAGAACAGTTCCGATAAAAACTAAAAGTAGAAAGAATATTTACATTCTAGACCATCTAAAAGGCCAAAAGCACCCATGTTTGGATACTTAGCCTTCACATTTGTGAGACACTTTATTTCCTTTTTCCCTCAATTTTACTGAAAAATACATACATCAGGGCTCCCTGATGGCCTAGGGGTTAAGTCTCAGTGCTATTACCAATGCAGCCCACTGTACCATCATGAATTAAATCCCGCAGTTATGGCTACAAAGCTAACCCACATGATGCAGCAGACCTCTCCTGTCTCACAGGCTGCTCCCCTCAGTAGTGTATTTCAGCCAGTCTGCCTGCTCTGCTCCCCACTCTGTCTCTGCTGAATCCTCTCACCTCCCCCAACCCCTCTACCCCCCACACATACCTCTGGCCCCCACCCCAGCTCTTTGACATAAAAATAAAATCTTAAAAATAAAAGGAAGAAAAATACATACATCACTATAAATTTAAGCCATAGGACTCAATGGTTTGCTCTCTATATATTAAGTGATTATTACATATATTATGAAATTGTGTCTCAGTGGTAGCTTCAGCTAACACCATCTCATATAGATACAATAAAAAGAAAAGAAAGAAGAAAAGAATTTTCCTTGTGATAAGAATTGTTAACTCTTAACAATTTTCTTATGTACACACCATTCAACAACCTTACCCTTATGTTGTGCAGTGCAGCCTGGGGTAGCAGGTCTTCCATAATATCCTTTCCTTCAAACATGTTTCATTATAGTATTAATGAGAAAAAAAGGACTCCCATTGGGGCCATTGTCTGTGCAGTTTGCATGTTCTCCCCATGTCTCTGTGGGTTTTCTAGGTATTCTGGATTTTCCCCACATCCCAAAGATGTTCTGTCAGGGTTGGGGGTTCTGTCTTGACCTTAAGTTGCTGGGATAGGATCTAATCACCTGTGACCCTGAGTTGGAATAAGTGGGTTAGGAGAAGAATGAATGAGTTGTTGAATGAATGAATGAATGCAAATGATTGGGTCTTTATTTAGAAGTTTGGTGATACTTCTGTGACCAAAAATATACCATAGGAACTTAATTCACTGATATCAACCCGCATGTGGTCAGATTGGTTTTTGTCACGGCTGTTGTATGCTGTCCACTGAACTTTAAGAATGTTCATCTACCACAAAAGAACTGAATGAGCTATATGAAAAGTTATTTATGGCCCTCCTTGGTGGCGCAACGGGTTAGGACACAGCACAGCAAGCTAGTGACAGCTGCTTCAGCGCAAGTTCTATCCTCGCCTTGGAGGAGATCCACATGGAACAGCAGATCTTTCCTGACCTACCCGCTGCTCCCCTCAGCAGTGTATTTCATCCATCAGCCTGCTTTGCTCCCCACTCTGACTCTGGTGAAGCCTCTCACCAACCCTGCACCTCTGGCCTATACCCCGATCTGTAAACATAAATAAATAAATCTTCAAAAAAAAAAAAAGTTATCTATATGGCATATCTCCCTCTTATTTTTTTTTTCATTGAGATGACTGTTGTCCTGAGTATTTTTTGCTAAAATGATTATAAAACAAATCTGTGATTATACAGCATCACACGGGGCTGGATTCAGTGTCTCTTGGATTTTATTTGGTTTGTCATATCTTACTTTCCGTGAGAACATCCCCCAAATCTGAAAGGAGTTATCATGAACTCAGACTAAATAAAGCTATAGATCTGGTTAAATATCCATTAAGAGATCATTTTTTACCTAGTTTCTCAGTGTCATGAAAGTGAACCATGGGAAACTTTCTAAATCATTTAAAGTATTTTTGAAAATCAAGGTGAATTGGTTAATTGCGTACTATTCCTTTGATCTCTCTGGATTTTTCAAATTTTCAAGCATAGGCATTTATAAGGGAACATTGTTTTTTCTAACGTCAAGTACATGCTCTTCTTTTCTTCCTCCAGTGACTCATCATGGAGAGGATTTGTCACAATCAGTATCTTATCTAAGGTGCAGATCTTACGCCTTTGTACCTGGCCTTCTAAGTTCTTACCACATTCATTCCTCATCCTACACAATGGTATCTATGTTTTGCTCAAAAGAAAGTGGATTATTGGTTTTACTCAATTCCTTTGTAATATTTAACCCCCAGCATTTTTGTGGTTGGAAATTCTTCCAGTGTAGTGCTCACGGCTCTCCTGTGTAAATATTCATTGGAAAAATTCTATTCTGAGTTGGTTTGATAAGATCCAAATTAATTGTGAGTTTGTTGTTATTTTAATAGCAATAGGATTCTAAAAATATTTTTAAAATATACATGATTCCAGGTCATAATTCCTAGTGTAGAAACATTGCTTCTGGCTTTTGAATGTTTCAATGCCCACTTTCTGAAGTAAGCCAGACACGACACAAGAGTTAGAAGACAGGTCAGGTTGATCCAATTTTAATAATTTGACGTCTTCCACACAACTTTCCAAAGTGGTTGGACTAGTTTTCATTTCCACCAGCAATGTAAAAGGGTTCACTTTTCTCCACAGCTTCATCATGGTCCCTGCCTCCAGAACAAATATCATCCAGTCCAAAAAAGCAAAATATCAGGCTCACTGAACAATCCTCAGCACATTAATTTTAGCTTTGATGTCCATTGGACTTAGTGGGATGTCCCAAGATCCTCAGCTTGGCATTCAGATGATGCCTAACAAATGACTAGATAAAGGCATATATGGATTGCAGCACACATAACAGAAAGGGGGGGGGGGAATTATGCTGAAACACTTGAAAAAAATTTGGTTTTTTGGCTCACACCTTACTGTCCCCACCATGGGTTCTAAATAAAGATGGAGAAGGAGGTAAAAGAAACTATTCCCAATAAGACTTTTCCAACCCATCCATAACAAGTACAAAATCAGAAAACTAAGTAACAATGTAAAAAATTTTATATTTATTTTTTACATCATTGTTCATTTTTGTATAATGTTTAATACCTCCCCTCAGGTATATCCCCATAAAATTCCCATCACCAAATCACTTATGAACTGTCACCATAGTCACTAGTGCTCAGCCCTCCCTTTTTTGACCCTTTTCTCTCCCCCTCCCCTGTGGTATGTCACAGTTCTATAATTTTACTGCT